GCCACCCCTTCCCAAGCACGTGGGAACGTGGTGGCAGGACCATCTCCTGCTTGTGCCATGGGTTCACCAATGACTTCCCGTGCAGCTGGGTGGCACTGGGAGAGAGATGACAACCACCTGTAAGGGCTGAGCAGGCTGGTGCTAATTATCACGCAGGAACAGGATTGCAATCATCGAGCTGGCAGCAGCAGGCATTTGCTTGCTCAAGACAGAGGGCAGCACTCCTCTGCTCTGGTGGCTCCCCAGTGTCACGTTCTGTGGGAAGGGTTGTTAAAGTTACTACGAAAGGGTAATCTATTACAAATTACTCATTAATGCAACTGAAAAAATCAGTAACATATTATTGAGCATGCCCGTGTCACGCTAGCTCGGCAGCAAGACTCGGTTCATGCTGCCAGTTTGTCTTGTGCTTTTTCTTCTAACCTTCTCAACACAACTTACAGACACAGAGCTTCTTTTCTCCTCCTCACCCGGATGAGTACATGAGCTTTGCCTTTTTGGAGCTGCTGCGCCTGGCTGCACACATGCTGCCTCCCGAGTAGTCGAACTGCTTTAACACCTTGCAACTAAATACCCAGTTGCAAATTTGAGACCCTTTTGCGTCCGTTTCTGGCAGGTACTGGGACGTGCTGAGCCTCCAGGCTGTGCCCAGCGGCCATCTGTGCTGGTAACACTTGGTGGTTTTCGGAAAGCAACCTCAGCAGCTGTGTCACTGGGCCTTCCCACCTCCGCCGGCAGCGGGTGGGGACACAGCCAGCTCCGCGCAGGTAAGATCTGCTCCGTCCTGCACTCATCTGAGCCCGCTTCCAAAATCGCACCACCGCAGCGCAAATTGCTGGAAGGCCTCTTTGCTGGCTACGGCCCCTTTGGCTCTCCTCCAGAAACAGAAAAAGTTCTAATCATCTTCCTACTAGCTTGGCACCGTCAGAGTGTTATTGCTGCTTCTGCATGAGGAGTTTTGCCCGTGGTGGATACTCCCGCTTTAAGCGCTCTCATTAAGGAGGCAGGACTTTGTGCAAGATCCTCACGCGCAGCCCCAGAGCCCGCGCCTAGCGCCAGCCTCAGGATGGGCACGGCCGACCAGCAACAAGACACGGGACCAGCTAGCGCTCGCTATGTATTCAGCCCTTGATTTATTCATCTCAGCCACAGATGGGCCTTGAATGTAAAAGAATTATGAAAAATGAGGCAAGAACAGGGAGGTATTTAACTAATGAAGCTGGGAAGGAAACGGAAAGCGCAGATCAGGAGAGCAGAAAAGCGAACGCAGCGGGAACAAAGAAGGAGCTGCCCAAGAGTTCGTTCGGGAGTCCTGCACTGGGGTCTCGGTAAAAGCTGCAAGGAATTTGCAAAGTTTGGAGCAATGAAACTTTGCTGAGCATGCAGCAGAAGTGGGGAGACGAGAAAGCCCAACTCCTGCATTTATACTCATGGCCAGGGGGCAATTGTGGCTTCGTGCCACCAGGCAGGTGGAGGCCACATTTGTCTCAGAACAAGGGTGGCCACAGACAGAATAATTGGGTAAGATTCAGTAAAAGGCTAAAGCTATTACAAAACCAAACAAAACTGGGAAAGAAGAGCTCCAGAGAAGCCAACAACCAAAATACATGTATAAACATATCAATGACAAAAAACGCGGGAAACGTGAGAGAAAGGAGAGGCAGCAGAGCAAGAGGTGGCCTGAAGTGGTTTATTTAGAGGCCCTGTTGGTATCTGGAGCTGACATCTCTCTGCAAGAGAGGTTTCACGTGGAAACCGGTGGGTAGGGCTCGCTGGTCTGCTCCTGGCGGGAGGTCAGACTGGACGGGGGGGCTGGAGAGCTGCTGCCGGCCTCCCGAAGCCCGGCAGGATGCAGCTACACGCCTTTTATCATCGGAGTCAGATTGTTCCTCCACGGGACGCAGGAAAGCTCCGCTCTCCAGCTTCGCAATGAGCCGCTTCCTTTTTTTCTTTTTTTAGGATCAGAATTTCTTTTCTCTTCCTCTTCCACCTCAAAAAAAGCGGACATTTAATAATTTGGATCG